CGAAGAAGTTACCCTCCTCCCTCCGGACAAACATCAGGGAATCTCTCTCCTAATCTCTTCGGCCTTGAAACTGCTCGACCATGTCCTGAAGCAAACCAAGTACTACAGCCACATCACCTTTCTTAGTACCTGCCTACGGAACCAGATCATCCCCAATGGACTATAGTCCACATTCAAGCCTTCCCAATTTGGCCCCAACCGTGACAATATCTACATTCATGGCATTGAGATCCTTCAGAAGCGTTTCTCCCTGTGACTCCTGAAACACACACTTGCAGCAATGCACTGGAATCTCCAGGCATTTCTGATGAAGGGTCTAGGCCCGAAACGTCAGCCTTTCTGCTCCTATGATGCTGCTTGGCCTGCTGTGTTCATCCAGCTCTGCACCTTGTTGTCTCGGATTCTCCAACATCTGCAGTTCCTACTATCTCTGGGAGGCCGAATAGTTGTTAATGGGGACTGTTAGCCTGCCATTACACAACCCCTGTCGTTAGTCACTATGTGGTAACGAGGCCTGGTGTGTGAGGTAGGATGCTGAGACATGGGAGAGTTTAGGCCCTTAAATTACTGAACTCAATATTGAGTCCGGAGGACTGTAGGGTCCCCAAGCGGAAAATGAGGTGTTGTCCCTCCAGTTTGCATTGGGTTTCGCTGGAACACTGCAGCAAGCCAGAGACACAGATGTTGGCCAGGGAGCAGGGTGGTGCTTTGAAGTGGTAGGCAACAAGTAGTTCAGGGTCTTTTTGCGAGCAGGACGTAGATGTTCTGCGAAGCGGTCGCCAAGTCTACGCTTCGTTTCCCCAATGTAGAGGAGACCACATTGTGAGCAGCGAATGCAGTAGACTAGATTCTGGGAAGTGCAGGTGAAGTGTTGCTTCACCTGGAAGGTATGTTTGGGCCCTTGGATACTGGGGAGGGAGGAGGCAAACAGGCAGGTGTTGCACCTTCGCTGGTTACAGGGGAAGGTGCCGTAGGGCTGTGGGAAGGTGTTGGGGGTGAAGGAAGTGTGGGCCAGGGTGTCCCGGAGGGAACGGTCCCTGTGGAAGGCGGACAAAGGAGGGGAGGGGACTATGTGTCTGAATACGTGCGTCTTCCAGGCATAGTTTCTAGACTAGGTTAGTAGCAGGTAGTGAGGGAAAAGTATAATTTACCTCATCTGTACCAATCTGCTGGCTGCAGATCTATCTGTCTGTCATTATTTGTAAGACTGACCATTGCACAGTCCTTATCAAAACAAAGTCCTGCCTTTGTCTTGTGTGGCACTATTGCTCTGCTAAATGAGACAGACTTCGAACAGATCTGGCTACTTAAGACTGGGCATCCACAAGGTGCTGTGAGCCAACAACAGTAGAATTTTACTCCACAATCTGCCAGCTTGTGGCCTAGCATGTCCCCCACTCAGCCATCATTGTCAAGCCAGAGAATTGGCCCTGGTTCAGTAGGGAGTGCAGGCATGCCAGAAGTAGCACCAGGTGTACTTAAAAATGAGGTGCCAATCTGGTGAAGCTATTAAACAGGACTACTTGCATGCCAGACAGCATAAGCAGCGAGTGGTAGACAGAGTTAAGCGATGCCGTAGCCAACAGATCAGTTCTAACCTCTGCAGTCCTGCCGTATCCAGTTACAAATGGTGGTGGACAATTAAACAACTCACTGGTGGAGGAGGCTCCACAAATATCCCATTCTTAATACGATGGAATAGCCCAACACATCAGTATAAAAAGATAAGGCTGAAGCATTTGCCGCAATCTCCAGCCAGAAGTGTTGAGTGGCTGATACATCTCTGCCTCCTCCAGTGGTCCACAGTATCACAGAATCCTATGTTCAGCCAATTTGATTCATTCCACGTGATATCAAGAAATCGTTGGAGGCACTGGATACTGCAAAAGCTATGAGCTCTGACAACATTCGGGCAATAACACTGAAGATTTGTGCACCAGAATTTGTTGCTACCCTAGCCAAGCTGTACCAGTAGAGTTTCAACACTGGCATTTACCTGACGTGGAAAATTAACCACTTATGTCCTGTACAAAAAAGGCAGGATAAATCCAACCAGGCCAGTTACTGCCCTATTAATGTACTCTCGATCATCAGTAAAGTGATGGAAAGTATCATCAGCAGTGTAATCGAGCAGAACCTATTCAGCAATCACCTGCTCAGTGATGCCCAGTTTGGGTTCTGCCAGGGCCACTCAGCTCCTAACCTCATTACAAACATGGACAAAAGAGCTGAATTCCAGAGGTGAGGTCAAGGGGTGTCACACTCACATCAAGGCTGCATTTGACAGAGTGTGGCATCAAGGAATCCTAGCAAAACTGAAGTCAATGGATAGCAGGGGCAAACTCTCCACGTGGAGTCCTACATATTTGGCATATAGAAAGATGGTTTTGGGAGATCAGTCATCTCAACTCGAGGACCTCTTTGCAGGAGTTTCTCAGGGTAGTGTCCTAGGCCCAACCGTCTTTGCCTGCTTCATCAATGACCTTCCCTCCATCATAAGGTCAAGTGGGGGGTTTTTGATTGCGCAATGTTTGCGGCTCGTCCGATAGTGAAGTAGTCTGTTCAAATGCAACATGATTTAGACAATATTCAGGCTTCAGCTGACAAGTGGCAAGTAACATTCATGCCACACAAATGCAGATAATGCCCATTTCCAGTAAAAAAAAAAAAAAAAAAATCTAACATTGCCCCTTGACATTCAGTGCTGTTACCATCACTGAATCCCTCATTATCAATGTCCTTGGGTTTACCATTGATCAGACACTCCTCTGGACTTGCCACATAAACTCAGTGGCTACAAGAGCAGACCAGAGGGTAGGAATACTGCGTCAGCTAACCCACTTCCTGAATTCCCAAAGCCTGTCCGTCATCTAAAAGGCCCAAGTCAGGAGTGTGATGGAATGCTGTCTTTGGATGGCTGCGGCTCCAACGTCACTCCAGGAGCTTGGCACCACAAACACAAACATCCACTCTCTCCTCTAACAACGCTCAGTAGCAAGGTCTATTATCTACAAGATGCACTGCAGATGTTTACCAAAGATCCTTAGACAGCAACTTCAAAACCCTTCACCACTCCCATCTAAAAGGATAAGGGAAGCAGATATATGGGAACGCCACCACCTGCAAGTTCCTGTCCAAGCCACTCACCATCTGGGCTTGGAAATATATCACTGTTCCTTCAGTGTCACTGGATCAAAATCCTGGAATTCCCTCCCTTAACAGCATTGTGGGCCAACCTACAGCAGATGGACTGCAGTGGTTCAAGACCACTTATTACCACCTTCTGGAGGGCAGTTGGGGACAGGCAATAAATGCTGGACAGGCAGCGAAGCCCACGTCCCATGAATGAGTTTTTTAAAAAAAAAAAATCTCCTTTTTTAGGTCAGTGACATCTGCTCATCATAAAATTATAGTACCATGGATGATGAGTGCAGCCAAGTGGTCATTACTCATGTACAGGCCTTAACATGGTAGTTAATGATTTATTTTGCTGTCAAGGAAGCAATTCTGTCTCTTTTCCCATGCAGAGTTCCAGTAGGTGTCACAGGATAAAAACAGGCACGATAAACCTGGAATGTTTTCTTCTTACTAACCTCTAATTTTTTTTTTTAAATTTCAAAATATACTTTATTCATACAACATATCTGTCTTACTGCATTTGTGAATATGTAGAATGGTTCTGGATAACAGCATTTCAAAGATACAAAAACTTTGGAGTTTGACTCGATCCAACAAACCAGAAGCATCTCTTACGCACAAGACTATATTGACATGCATTTGCGGCACTGGGAGGGTCTGATAAGTTTATCCAATTTGGCACTCAACCGGAAATTTAAACTTCTTTTAAAAGGTCAGGGTGGTCTCTTGCTGAAAAACTCAGTTGAATCCCTATGACTGAGCTGTTTTGCAAAATTGCCAGTTTGTTTTGCTTAACACTTTTCTTTATGTAGAAAAGCACAAGTGCTTGGCAGCATTATCAGAAAAGCTGTGCAGTAATTATTTTTGCCACTTGGACACGTGTGTTTGTATTTGTTACTTTGCAGTAAAAACGTGTCATGTAAATATTGTTTTCCCATAAAACCGCTGAGCCAATTAATCTCCCTATTGAAAGGTGACACAGATACCTCTGATACTAACATTGTGGCCATTTTGCAATGCTTCTTTTTCCCTCCCCTTCTCCTCAAGGCACTACTTCGTACTGAGGGAGCAGTTCTGCAGCACCTACAACCAGGTACCCTGCCTAAGTGACGGCTGTTCCTGCATAAACCTAGACAGGCTAGTGCTGGCATGTTGTTCTAATGTTTGACAACAGAGCAGATGAGCTGATCTAGGCCAGATGTAGTCACAATCTGGCACAGAATGGTCCCAACACTGCTCCCTGAATATGTGCTCACTTCTGAAGTCAAATTGATTCTTCTCTTCCGCCATTCAATTTCTCTCTCTTTCTTTCTCTTTTTTTCCCACCTGCCCAAAGTCTTACGATGCTAGTAGTTGCAGCGCCTCCGCTTTCCCACCTCTGGGGAATCAGGTTGTGGAATCTTCCATGTTTGTTTGCCTACATGATACGTTGGTAGGGGCTGCTGCCTTTACCCAATGGCACGGCATAAAACACGCACTTTAGTTTTCGAAAATCTTAAATCCAGTTTTGAGGAAATGAACTTGAATAATAAATGAATACAGATTAAGTCAAGAAGTCCAGCCACTGGTGATAACTGTGACTAACACTTTTTTTTTAATGGTACCAGTATGACCAAAGCTGCAAAATCAGAATGTTAGACATAATTGTTCTGGAAAAAAAACTCATGGGTCCTATTTTTGCATGAAGATGAAGCTAAAATTTTTTTTCAATAATGCATATTGAGTTAGAGTACTCTTAATTGTGTAAAATAACTCCTCACTTTAACTTACCTTGTGTTTTAAAACACCAAATTGTTGTTTTCTGTTGTTGGTTATTAATGCATATTTTTTATCTTTTTCTCCCTCCTCTCAATTTTTTACAGGTAGCAATTCAGTAGATGAAGCTGGAAATAAGGTAAGAAATCTTTGATTTTGCTTGCTAGCACTGAGTGTATGTTCACAGGGAGTTCAGTATTTGCAGCACGCTGTCATCCAAAAGTTTTTAGTAGGATTTTATGGTAAAACGGCCGAGAACTGTCTAGCAAGAGAGGGGCTTTTCAGGAATCGGGCTACGATAGCCAGGGTATTATGAGAATTTTTTTTTCCTTTTGTCTTTTCTATCCTCTTTTTTTTCTTTTGCAGAGTCTCTCATCTTAGTTGATTGTTGGACAAATGCACACTCTGCTTTGAGGGCAGTTCTTCTCTTTGCTCAGCTGACAGTAGCTATAGGCTAGATTGATTTGCTTCCTGATCTTAAATCTCTGATTTGGAAAGTAAATTTTTTTTTTCAACTGAGTTGCCTTTCTCCCCTACAATATGAAGCTTTTGATATTCTGACCAAAGTATTGATTTATTGCAATGGTTGTGAAGGAAAGAGTGTGAAGTAGACCTATATTCCCTAAATTTGGTAATCTCATTAATATTTTAAAAATTCAGGAGGGCTTCGGAATAGATGCTGATGAGTTGTTTAGCTCTAGTTGGAGAGTCCACAACTAGAGGTTTGGCCTCGGGATTGGTGATTTAGAGCTAAGGTGAGGAGCCAATTCCTCCTCCCACAGTATATCTTTAGAATGATCTACCTTTAAATGACTGTGATTGCTTAGTCATTTGAACTTAGTCAAGGTTGAGATTAATATATTTTTGGAATGGAGGTATGGTAGGGAAATTGTTAGGATAAAAGAATAACCATGCTCCTACTGTTGGATGGAGGAGACTCAAGCATCCAATTTCCTAGTCCTTTCTTTTATTCTTCTGTTCCTAAGCTATTACTGTCTCCTGATTATTAGTTTTGAATCACTCATTGGGACGGTTTAGTCTCTTTGTTTTCTCTTGAGGAAAACCAAAGTGAAGTGATCTGAAAAATATTTTTCACGTAAAGCTCTTCCCATTTAGGGATGTGGGAGAGCAGAGAGCAAGCTTTTGAACCAGGGAAACAGCCTCTGTCTCAGCATATGACAAATATCATTTAAGACTGAGGTGAAGAGGAAGTCTGCCTTAATACCATCCAGGGCACAGCAGCTTGCTTGATTTGGCACCACATGCATAAATATTCACTGCTTACACTGCTGATGTTCAGTAGTAGCAACGTATGCAGTCTATAGGATGCCCTGCAGATCATAGAATCCGTACAGTGTGGAAGCAGGCCATTTGGCCCATCAAGTCCACACTGGCCACTTTCCCCCCACCTCCAGAGCATCCCACTCAGACCACGACTACCACCCACCCCCAATCTCCATATCCCTGTATACTACGGGCAATTTAGCATGGCCAATCCACCAAACCTGCACATCTTTGGATTGTGGGAGGAAGTTGGAGCACTGAGGAATCCCACGCAGACATGGGGAGAATATGCAAACTTCACAGGCAGTCGCCTGAGGGTGGAATCGAACCAGTGTCCCTGGTGCAGTGAGGCAACAGTACTAACTACAGAGCAACTGGCTGCCTAGATCTGCTTTCTAAATACCCATGGAAAATATCCTGAATTGCCATTCACTGACTTATTTGCATTTGAGTGAACCCCGAGTGCTGTCCCACTCTCCTGAGCAAAGTTGCACCAAACACAGTTAGCAACTCGACCCGCTGTCAGGTGGCAGTTGGTGGTGAGGTGCTGGCAAGCCAGGCGGGAGTCTGGCGGTCGGTGGCGAGATAGTAGTGCGGGGAAAGAGATTGAGGTCATTTGGGGAAAGCCCAGCTTGGAATGATTGTAGGCCCAGGGCTAAAGGAGGACTGTAATGTTGAACTATTAGCTTTATTTCTTTATTTCTCTACTTTTGTATTGAAGATTTTGTACGTAGGTAACTTGGTACCCAAGATGGATAATCACCAAGTCTTCCTAGATAGCAGCTTCCAAACCCATGATGAGTTCCATCTAGAAGGCAAAGGTTAGCAGATACACGGTAATATCAACATCAACATCTGAAAGTTTCCCTCCAAGCCATCGCCATTCTGATTTGAAAATACATTGCTGTTCCTTCAGCATTACTATGTCAAAAACCTGGAATCCCTCGTAGTATTGTAGGTGTACCTACACCACAAAAAGGCAACTCACCAGGACCTTCTTGAGGGCATGGAGTCATAGAGCTGTACAGCGTGGAAACAGGTGCTTCGATCCAACTTGTCCATGCCAACCAGATAATCCTAAACTAATCTAGTCCCATTTGCCAGCATTTGGCCCATATCCCTCTAAACCCTTCCTATTCAATACATCCAAATCATTTATATAAATGACAGAAAGCAATGGGCCCAGCACTGATCCTTGTGGCACACCGTTGGTCACAGACCTCCAGTCTGAAAAGCAGCCCTCCACCATCCCCATCTGTCTCCCACCTTCGAGCCAGTTCTGTATTCCATATGGCCAGTTCTCTCTGTATTCCATGTGATCTAACCTTGCTAACCAGTCTACTGTCCTGAACCTTGTTGAATGCCTTACTGAAGTCCATATAGATCATTTCCACCGCTCTGCCCTCATCGATCCTCTTCGTTGCTTCTTGAAAAAACTCAGTTAGTGAGACACGATTCTCCACTCGCAAAGCCATGTTGACTATATCTAAAATGTCCTTACCTTTCCAACCACTTGTAAATCCTCTTCCGCAGGGTTCCTTCCAACAACTTGCCCACCACTGATGTCAGGCTCACTGGCCAATAGTTCCCTGGCTTTTCCTTTCCACCTTGTTTAAATGGTTAGCTAACCTCCAGTCTTCTGGCCCACTACCTGTGTTTATTGATGATACAAATATCTCAGCATCTAGGGATGGGCAATAAATGCAGGCGCAGCCAGGGAAGCCCACAGTCCATGAATAAATATTCAAAAACTGAGGATAGTGAATTTTTGGAATTCTTTGACCCAGAGGGTTGTGAAGGTTCAGTCATTGAATATATTGAAGACAGATCTACAAATTTAGAAGTGTTAAAAGATATCCGGGGATATGGAGATAATGTGAGGAAGTGTTGAAGTTGAGGGTCAAGCATAATCAAGCTGGATGGCAGAGCAGGCTTGAGCCAAATGGCTTATTTCTCCTATTTCCTATGTTCCCATGTTCTCTTATTTCTTTGTGCCCTATGCATCTATCTCCTACCTGGACGAGGCTTTTTTTTAAAAAAAAGAAAAAGCGCTCTTCTTGGAGTATAAAGGATTTCCACTTCTTCCCACTACTTTGAAGAAGCTGGCACTAGCTCCCTTTTGACAAAGGGAAAAAGGACAGCTACAGATGAGGGAGCCAATCAAAAGCAAGTGGCGGCACGATGGCTCGTTGGTTAGCACTGCTTCCTGTCAGCTCCAGGGGACATGGATTCAATTCCACCCTTGGGTGACTTACTGTGTGGAGTTCGCACATTCCCCTGTGTCCGCATGGATTTCCTCCTTGTGCTCTGGTTTCCTCCCACAGTCCACAGATGTGCAAGTTAGGTAGATTGGCCATGCTAAATTGCCCATAGTGTCCAGGGATGTGTAAGTTAGCCATGGGAACTGCAGAGTTACAAGGATAGGGTGGGATGCTCTTTGGAGGGTCGGTGTGGACGTGTTGGGATGAATGGCCTGTTTCCACACTGTAGGGATTCTATGGAACATGAGGGACTACCTTATTTCCCCTGCATGTTCCCACTCCCTTGCTAGTGGTTCCAACCCAGGTACATTTCCTCGCAAAGAACCATTAAGAAGTGGCTCACTAAGTTTATTGGATCTGGCTTCTGGCCAAAATCCACCATCATTTCAATGTTAAACCGTATTAAATCTGACTTCTCCCATTTCCCTTTTTGTGGTGTTCAGGTCCATAGACTGACACAGCCATCATATTTATCTTTGTGAATTCAAAGTCTAAACTGAAACATAACCATTGTGTCAAAAGCCTGGAATTTCCTCTCTCCGTATTGTGGTATAAGTACACCTACAAAAAGGCAGCGCACCAGGATCTTCTCGAGGGCATGGAGTCAAAGAGCTGTACAGCATGGAAACAGACACTTTGGTCCAACTTGTCCATGCCAACCAGATATCCTAAATTAATCTAGTCCCATTTGCCAGCATTTCACCCATATCCCTCTAAACATTTCCTATTCGTATACCACCCAGATGCTTTTAAATGTTGTAATTGTACCAGCCTCCACCACGTCCTCTGGCAGCTTATACCATACACATACCACTCTCTCTGTGGAAAATGTTGCCCCTTAGGTAAAGGAAACTTGGACAGCCTTTGTAGTTCGTGATTTTACTATACTGCAATTTAGCAAATTATGACGTGTGTTTCATGTCAGTATTGTGGTTAGCGTTGTGGAATGGAATTGTCCTTTTTTATAGATTGTTAAATGATAAATAACAGGGAAGAGTTCTTTCCTGGAATGTTTTTGATGTGTACACTGGAGTATACTTTGGCATTGAGTTTACAAGTAACAAAACTGCAATTGACTTCATTGTTTAAAGGAAAGCATTGAAATACACCATAAATGTTCCCACTCCTTCCCTGCTGCTACCTGTAGCCATTCCTACTAGAAGATCTTCTGTCATGGTATGCCGCAAAACCGTTGTTTGTGGCAGTGCTCTCACAGTAACTTTTTAGTTCATTTTCAAACACTTCGTGACAACCATTATTTAACTACACCTAGATCTACCCTTCTTTCTGCCATCCTTCACTTTGCCCCCAAGAAGAGGACTGTGTAGCTTTTCAATAATGGTCAAGTTGACTGCAGTACTGCCACTTCGTTTCTGCAAGTCACCTTTCGGAGTTGTTTTTGGTCTTGCAATTTCAAATACATCTACATTTGTTTTACGCTAGATATTTCATAATCAAACCGTATATTTCCCACTACATGTGCTGAAGATCAAAAGGAATCCTAAAATACTTCACCTGTTGGATTTGAATTTTTTCCTCTTAAATGCTTGATAGAGATCTTCCTGTTTTCACACTGCTCTGCACAGTTAGTGGT